TCGTGTTTCAGTCCTAAGAGAATTAGAGAGAGGGTGTAGGAGGGGGGAGAGAGAGAGAGAGAGAGAGAGAGAGAGAGAGAGAGAGAGAGAGAGAGAGAGAGAGAGAGAGAAGCGGCGATATTTATATCTTACTCGCGGGCGGCACGATGACGCGTACCGGGACATTTCTCGCGATGCGTTCGCCAATTTCGCACGGCGGAAGTACTGCAGATGAAACAGTTTATTTGAGAGTAATTGCATTTGAGTAATTCCTCAGGACGAGTTACTCCGAGGGGACATGTTAGGTATATCGAATATTTAAATAAGTGGACTTTGAGCGACTGGTGCTCTTTATCGCATATCGTTACGATGTAAAAAATATATTATACCATATACGCATACTATAAGTAAACACGATTTTTAACGGAGTGTATTGCTCTCCGTACGGCAACTACGCAAGATGAGATTGTGGATTACTACGGTAAGAATATAGTAGAACGGACAAGTTGTCAGCCAATGTAACAACAACCCATCATCATTGCATTCGATAATGGCTTCATTATCGTGGAAATAGGACGTCCTGATATCTCGCAATTAAGAGTTCCAATTCGTCAAATGTTTATCCAACAAATTCGGCGATGGAATGTTGGCACCTCGGACGTACACAATTGCTTCTTTTCTCTCGGAATCATGCCAAGGGGAAATAAAAATTACTGACATTGATTGAGATTGCGAGATGATGATGCAACAAAAAGAGAGACATCCGCAATTATTTTCAACGTGCAGTATTTTACTAATAAAGTTAATAATAATTTTCTAAAAGTGTTCGGACAATGCAAATTGAGACAACATGAATTTAAAGACACTTCAGAACATTAATTGACTAAAAGGAAAAACGTTTTAATTAAGATGTATGTATATAAACAAAAAAATTCGAGATTTATGTTTGAAAAACAATCTTGTTTTGGCAATAATTACTTTGTAAATTATTTAAAACTCAGAAATTAGTGTAACAAATTTCAAGCTATTTTGTCATATATGTAAATAAATGAATGAACATCAAGCGAATCTATAAAGGCTGGTCTACAATACATGGAGTAAGCTGGAGTAAGGAGTAGGAGTAAGGAAATAAATCCATTTTATTTCTCACTCCTACTTCAGCTCTTAGGCTTACTCTCGGTGAATCAAAATGCCATCAATTAGTGTTACAATTATTTTAACAATTATGCCCGTATTTCAGCTTCCTTACTCCAAAAGCTAGAAGTTAGGGCTCTCCCTTACTCCTTACTCCACGCTTACTCCACGTATTGTAGACCACGCATAAGTGTTAAACTACAGTTCACGCGAAGTACTATAACTGAAACCACTGTTACGTTTATCTCGTTAGGATATTAAATAACCTTATCGGTCTTGTATACTAAAAAACTAAACAAATGAATCAGTTTGCGATGGGCACACCAGGTACATACATACCCTCCGAGAATAAATTCACTGTCATCAGCTAGTCCCGTCATCTGTCTTTTATTTTTTTCACAAGTCAAATCACACGCGCCTCACTATTCACCGCATCGCGTCCTTCTTTTCCAAACTTCCCGTATCGTGTTGCTAGATAATAAATCAATCTTCTGAACATACAGATTCTTCGGCTAATTTTATTTAAAAATCGTTTATTGCGATTATACTTTGTGACATTTCTTCATGAATTATATTCGTTCAAACATTTTTTTAGACTTATTGTTGTTCCGACTTTCTCGTTTCCAGTCCTTCACTTCGGGACAATGCGGGAGTATCTAAGATATACGATATTTTACATGGTTTTCAAAGCCCTCTCTAACAACCCTTAAGAGCGTCTTCGCGATTCTTCTTGAGACTCTCTCGGAATTTCTCTTCGAGTTCCCTTCGATGCTCTTCAAAACGTTCTGTTCGGGATTTCCCTCAGGGTTCTTCAAGGCCGTTACACGAATCACGAGACAGGCTTCGCGCACGGGCGTGGCGGATGCCAAAAAATTTCACTGGGAACTGAAGCGGCTACGAGCAGGAGGCGAGGGAGGAGCAGGGGCGAAAGATCAGTGATGCACAGACGAGGGACACGATGCCACCTTGGTGAAAGCCACCGCGATGAAGAGGCTTCCTTGTCGTACCGAGTGCCGCTCCCGCCAAGCGGAAGATTATCTAAATAGACTTCGCGGGCCAAAGAGGGAAGGAGCGGAAGAGGAGACGAGACGGCGGCTTAGGAGGAGAAGAGGACCCACAACGAGTTGGTATTTATACGTCGTGCCTTTGGAGAGCCAGTGGCCGCGACCAGGAACATCCCTCTTCGTGTCCGCGGATGAAACGTACCGAATGCCATTGATTTTCTTCACCCGTCGATTGGAATTCATGGGGAACTCCGCGGCAGGAATTAACAGCCTCATCGGCAATAAGATCTGAGAGACAGAAAGAGGAGAAAGAGAGAGAGAGAGAGGGGGGGGAGCGAAGAGAAACGCGGGTTAATCAGCTGCATCGAGCGAAACCGAGGACCTTTACTCTTAGGTTACACCGTTTTGCTGTGCATTTCTTAAGTGGTAGAAATTACTGCGAGAAAGAGGGGGGGGAGCTTCGACTTCGGATTTACTTTACCATTTACATTTTACAAAAACGAAGTTGTATCTTTCTTGAGTAATTATGTATGGGTGAACCTTTAATTATGTACATACAGTAAGTTTTTACCGCGCGTTCTGACAATAATGACGTGTAATTCACAATATCTTGTCAAAGACTTTATGAATACTGTATACTTTCACAATTTTTCACTATTTAAGTTTTAGTGCATTTGCGATTATTTCTTTTATTCCTCATAAAAATAAAAGTTTAATATGGATAAAGCGAAATTAACCTGAAGATTAATTTGCAAAAAGATTTTTACAGCTATTTATAAATAAAAAATGATTTATGTACAAACGTATTTCAAAAAGTTTCACATAATTTTTAATTATACGTAATTTTGTTTAATTACTAAATCATATATTTTATAAACTAATATTTTATTGTTTTATATAAAATCGGTCATTAAAGTTTTTAAAGTCAATTTAATGTAAAATTTTTAATAATTCATTCTTTAATTTAATTGTCAGCGTTAATAATAAACGTTTGATTTCTTATAATTGTTTTAATACAAAATATAAGATTTATGATCATTTCAAGTATCGAATTTGGGAGACGAAAAAATTGCAATGAAGGAAATCTGAGTTGCACACATTCGCAGCTGTTTTAACACAAGTGTGTATATCAGGTGCTGAACATGACTGCCGCGTTTGTGCACGAAATTCCTTACACGTTTACATAACCGTGGATACAATAAACTTAGTAAAAAAATATAATTTGCGCCATTTGTACAATCAACTGTTAGAAGCAGTGAACCACGCAATGGAATTTCTTCTTGTTTAACTTTTCGTTGTTGACAATTTGTACGTACACTAGGCATCCCCGATGCCTCCCCACATGAATTAAGCACATATAGAACACATACATTTTCCATGTATGTATTATAAATGCCAAATGTATAAGTGTGCACAAATTTACATGGGAAGGCATTGAATTTAACTTACCCATTGACATTGGATAAGTTATAACAAATGCACTAATCATGTAACAACACAGTTTGTAAGGTATAAGAAAACTATTAAAGATTGTTATTACAAAGTTGCTGTGAGTATCATCAAATAATTTTCCGAGTAAAAAAATTGGTAAGGCTGTAAAAAGCTCCTGATTAATTTTCCTTAATATAAATCGGGGCCCTAATACATATACGTATATATAAATGATCGGGTTCCTGAAAAGTTTTTAACAGGGAGTTTATAAGGACCTTGTAAGAAAATTATAATCAGACCCTGGTTTCAAAATATGAATCCCTATCGTTAATTAAGGCTTCACAAGCAGAAATGAAAAAAAAATTAATTTTTGAAACTAATTTTTAAATTGTGTTAAATTGTAGCCATCGAAAGTATATTCAGGTCATTGAGTTTATCCGTGATCCAGACAACGCATTGCCAGATCATAATCGGCTTGCCTTCTACACTAATGCGGAATGATTTTTACTTGTGAGAAAGCCTAACGCGTCGCGGCAGCGAGTGGTACTAATACTCAGGCTAACGTATATCAAACCCTATGAGGGAATCACGCCCGTGTAAGAATTACCTGAGAGCTATTTGAAAAGAGCACCCTAGGGTAATAAGAGCATCCTTAATAATATCCAATATGACTCTGATGTGACAATAATGAGGCGTCCCGTAATTCGTCAAACTTGGGCATCCTTAACAAAATTTACTAAGGACCTGACGTGACAATAAAAAACCATGATATAAAAAGCAAATTTTAGCATTGGTTTGTAATGGTTTTTTAGTTACAACGCGTTTCTTTTATAGTTAAGTTATAGTAAGGCCCTGTGTTAAAATAGGAATATTCGATAATTAATAACTTGTAACCAGGCAAGTAAATACATTGGAAATAGTCCATGATAATGTAGCGCGTCATTGAAAAAGTCAATTTAAAATTTTACCATGATAGCATTGATTGTGATACCTAAACCACTAGACCCTTCAGACTCTCTATAACGTTCTTCCTTAAATTCGTTCTTCCCACTGATCTGTAGTTATAAGATCATTGGTTATTCCTGAATAGGTTACATCTAATTGTTAACATTTGGCAAACGTTGCGTGATAAGTTCCTCATATAAGTTCTGTTATTAATTCAATATTTTTCATATAAATTGAAAATGTAAACCTCACATATTATTACAATAATTACAATATTATAACAACAATACAATTAATATTGTAATGTTTGTAGAGGCCAAGTGATTGAAAACAATTTCTATGTATAGAAGCTCTTATGATAACGTGTACTGCTAGGCATCACCTTTCAGCTTGGAAAGTAATTCCATATTACCAAAGAAAAGTAACGTGAAAGTTTGTCTTAATATTAGTTTCTTAAAATCGAGCAGTTGGAAACAAACTCATTTATTTAAATATCACCAAGTTCAAACAACACATCAATATTTAGGTTTAGTAAAGACATTATCGCTATGTCACATTTAGTAACATACCCACTGTGATACTGTGCGAATATAACGGCAACGAAAATGGAGCAAAATTGTTGGTTGTGGAATCATTATACTAAATTAAGTACTCGGGCAGAATGTAAGATATGTCGCAAGACGTTTGATGCATATCGAGGATTGTATCCGTTAAAAGCACATTTAAGTTATAAACATGAAATACAGAATGGAGAAGAAAACTACCAATGGAAAAGCAAAGTGGAAACCCGCTTAATTTGGGAATATTTCTCAAAAGAAGACAGATATTCTGCAAGATGCAACAAGTGTTCCGGAATTCTTGCTCATGCGTATAAAACATCTGTTTTAGAAAAGCATTTGTTGACTCACTCAGAAATAGAAGCATCATTACGAGAAACAATTACTGGCACCTGGCTGTCGAAATACTTCACAGTTACAGAGTGTAAGGCAAAATGCACATGGAAAGATTGCAAATCGGCTTTTAAAACATATGACCCAATAAATGTCTTCAAAGATCACTTGCGTGAATGTCATTGTGTAGATGAAAATTCGGGACGTGAAGAAAGAACTGGTTATGAAAATTATGAAGATGGTATGATGCACCAAAATTCTTTTGCCGGCCCAAGTTGGTTATCATAAAGCTACATAGTGGCAATCGCTTCTGAAAAACAAAGGTAAATGTCTCAGATATTTTTTGGTCTTCTAATTATCATGAATTAGTAATATATGCATTATCTACAAGTAACAAGTAAAACAATGTATATCTAATAATTTAAAATAGGCATTATGCTTTTGGTATTTATTATATGTCTATTCTATAGGTTGTAATTATGTGAGTTAAACAATATAACAACTTTACACGAGATTTTATTCGTTCAAACATATTTTTATTAATTCAAATACTTATTTATTTGTCATGCGCATATTCAGTAATTAAAAAGTATTCCCACACGCAATAACTGCGCAGATAATTCGGATCGTATTGTTAATTGTTTTTATGTTTGACTTTCCATCTTGAGGAACCTGAATAATAAAGATCAGTCAATATAATTAAATAAAATATACATGATTGCAATTCAATTTTGCAATTCTGACATTAGTAGTTTACTGAATTTTTAATTACTCTTTGTATGCAGGTCTGTGGACAATTACAATAAACAAGAAGGATCTGAATCTGGAACTAAGTGATTCTATTTGGGGAAAATTGTCATCTCTACACCATGCATTAATAACAAATCTTGACGAAAGTACTAGAAGATATTATATCGATAACCTACTTGCATTTGACGATATATTACGCATTTGGCATTGTCAGATAAAGTAAAACGGGGTCATCATGTAACTCTTCAACAGAATATGTCCGTTAATATCATTTTAGCGAACACGTGGCTCTATCGTTGTTTTCTTCACACTATTAAAAAAATCTAAAATAATTGATGAAACATCTGCCTTCATTGTTAAAGACGTCATAACCATTTTGATAAAAATTTACTTATTACATATTTTAGTTTTCATAAATTCTGTATACATACAGTCATGAGGCCACTGGTCCATATGTTACTTTGGTTTAGATATCGTAGACTCACGTGTTCACGCGGAAGATTAAACATCAATCTTCTTACGAATTCAATTTACAAGTACTTTAGTGACTATTTACTAGTTAAGTAATTTACTAATAGTATCGTCAATTTTAATTGTCTTTGTATTGACTTGTATCAACTCATTTATATATTTTATACATGTAACATTTAGTGTCATTTACACAAAGTTGTAAGACTGCATCAAGTTCATACAATAATGTTTCAATTATACGGTTCCATTATACAATATATATGTATACACGCTACGGTATTGTCATCATTTGAAACATTTATAAGAAATCTAATGAAATTTTGACAGTTAAATTGCATGTAAATAATTCAAATAATAGGATTGTACCATTATATTTGTAATACATATATGTTTATATTTCTGAACCGTATAATTCTTATTTTCTCACTTACTTTGGATAAAATAAAGTGTTATAGCTATTAAAAGTAACCCTCAAGTACTCTCAGTAACAATTTAATTATGACACGATGTTTATTCAAACGTGTTGTAGCTATTATAATTATTCCATCACAGTTTATACGAGTTGTATCGCCAATTATAATTTTCTTCGTATCGACTCAAATATGTATCTTGTAGAACGCTTCATATAACTTTTTATTGAAACATGCTTCAGATATTACAATTATTTCATCACATTTATAAGAAATCTAATGAAATTTTGACAGTTAAATTGCATGTAAATAATTCAAATAATAGGATTGTACCATTATATTTGTAATACATATATGTTTATATTTCTGAACCGTATAATTCTTATTTTCTCACTTACTTTGGATAAAATAAAGTGTTATAGCTATTAAAAGTAACCCTCAAGTACTCTCAGTAACAATTTAATTATGACACGATGTTTATTCAAACGTGTTGTAGCTATTATAATTATTTCATCACAGTTTATACGAGTTGTATCGCCAATTATAATTTTCTTCGTATCGACTCAAATATGTATCTTGTAGAACGCTTCATGTAACTTTTTATTGAAACATGCTTCAGATATTACAATTATTTCATCATAGTTTATACGAGTTGTATCGACAATTATAATTTTTTTCGTATCGATGTATCGGCTCAATTATGTATCTTGTAGAACGCTTCATGTAAGTTATATGAATAAATTAATGTTGCAACAAATACATAACAGAATTACCTATACACATTAGGATTATAGAAGATGTGTAGGCTTGTCAAAATTCTTTATGGTGGAGCACTGTTAGCGCTATTGCAAGCAGCGCATGTGAATAATTGAAACCATATACAAATTTCAGTAGAGAATGAACACATCTAATAAACGTGTAATATGAAAGAACAGAGAAAAGTATAACGACGACAATGGCATTTTCATAAATAGATATTTCAACATTGAAACTTTGCATAGTAATTTCTTCGCCTGCAGTACATGTCGAAAAGAAATACATTTGTCTTATACATTAGGTTAAAGATTACAATTTACCAATTACGATTAATAGGAACTCAATCGTTCCAGCTGTTTTTGACAATAATTTTCAACAATTTCGATTAGTAGCCTCTAGTCGGCTCGTGTATAGATACACGAGGTGGTTTCAAAGTACCCGAATACTTGGTGCGCAACATTACAGTGTTTCTTGCCTGGTTAATAATAAATAAAAATTATGTGGTGGTGCCATTTTCCATCTTTAATACTGATAAACTTCAAGACTGATAATATCAGAGCACCTTTTAATAATAATTGCAAAATGAGCTAGCAGATCGTTTTAAAATTTCGCTGAAAACATTGTTATATGTGTGAAAGACATGGTATAAAAATCAAATTTTTACACTGGTTTGTAATATTTCTTAAGATATAACGTGTTTCTTCATAGTTACAGTAAGGCACTGTGTTAAAATAGGAATATTCGGTAATTAATAACTTGTTACCAGGCAGGTAACAAATTGGAAATAGTTCATGATAATGTAACACGTCACTGAAACAGTCAATTTAGAATTTTACTATGCTAGCATTGATTGTGATATCTAATCCACTAGATTCTTAAGCCTCTCTACAACGTTCTCATAATAAAAATACATTATTTTCACAGATCTGTTGTTATAAGATCATTGGTTATTCCTGAATTCGTTACATCTACTTCTTAACATTCGACAAACGTTGCATGATAAGTCTTATATATAAGTTTTGTTATCAATTCAATATATTCCATATAAATTGAGAATATAAACCTCACATATTATTACAATAATTACAATATTATAACAATATTACGATTAATATTGTAATGTTGGTAGAGCTCAAGAGATAGTAAACAATCTCTATGTATAGAAGCTCTTATGATAACGTGTACTGCTAGGCATCACCTTTCAGCTTGGAAAGTAATTCCATATTACCAAAGAAATGTAAGGTGAAAATTTGTCTTAATATCTGTTTCTTAAAATCGAGCAGTTGGAAACACACTCACTTATTTAAATACCACCAAGGTCCAAACAACTTATCAATATTTAGGTTTAGTAAAGACATTATCGCTATGTCACATTTAGTAACATACCCACTGTGACTACGAACGGATATAGCGGCATAGAAATGAGTGGAGAAATTAATTGGGTGTGGGTACACTTTATTAAAACAAATGCTCAAATATTGTGTGAGATATGTGACAAGAAATTTCATATAAATTCCGGGTGCATTCGGTTAAAAGCACATTTAAGTTATGACCATGATATACAGAATGAAGAAGAAAACACCCAATGGAAAAACAAAGTGGAAACCCGCTTAATTTGGCAATATTTCTCAAAAGAAGACAAATATTCTGCAAGATGCAACAAGTGTTCCGGAATTCTGACTCGTGCGTATTGTCTAACTGATTTAGAAAAACATTTGTTGACTCACTCAGAAATAGTAACGACATTACGAGAAAAAATTACTTGCACCTGGCTGTCGAAATACTTCACAGTTACAAAGTGTCATGCAAAATGCACCTGGAAAGATTGCAAATCGGCTTTTAAAATATATGACCCAATATATGTCCTCAAAGATCACTTGCGTGAATGTCATCGTGTAGATGAAAGTTCGGGACGTGAAGAAAGAAATGGTGATAAAAATCATGCAGATGGTATGATGCACAAACATTTTTCTGCCGGCCCAAGTTGCTCATCATAGCGATACATAGTGGAAAACACAAAGGTAATTATTTCAGATATTTTTTGGTCTTCTAATTATGATGTGTATGAATTAGTAATATATGCATTATCTATAAGTAACAAGTAAAACAATGTATATCTAATAATTTGAAATAGGCATTATACTTTTGGTATTTATTATATGTCTATTCTATAGGTTGTAATTATGTGAGTTAAACAATATAGCAACTTTACACGAGATTTTATTCGTTCAAACATATTTTTATTAATTCAAATACTTATTTATTTGTCATGCGCATATTCAGTAATTAAAAAGTATTCCCACACGCAATAACTGCGCAGATAATTCGGATCGTATTGTTAATTGTTTTTATGTTTGACTTTCCATCTTGAGGAACCTGAATAATAAGGATCAATCGATATAATTAAATAAAATATATATGATTGCAATTCAATTTTGCAATTCTGACATTAGTAGTTTACTGAATTTTTAATTACTCTTTGTATGCAGGTCTGTGGACAATTACAATAAACAAGAAGGATCTGAATCTGGAACTAAGTGATTCCATTTGGGGAAAATTGACATCTCTACACCATGGATTAATAACAAATCTTGACGAAAGTACTAGAAGATATTATATCGATAACCTACTCGCATTTGACGATATATTACGCATTTGGCATTGTCAGATAAAGTAAAACGTAGTCATTTTATCATGTAACTCTTCAACAGAATACGTCCGTTAATATCATTTTGGCGAACACGTGGCTCTTTCGTTGTTTTCTTCACATTATTAAAAAAATCTATTGTAAAATAATTGATGAAACATCTGTCTTCGTTGTTAAAGACGTCATAACCATTTTGATAAAAATTTACTTATTAAATATTTTAGTTTTCATAAATTCTGTATACATTCAGTCATGAGGACACTGGTCCATATGTTACTTTGGTTTAGATATCGTAGACTCGCGGAAGATTAAACATTAATCTTCTTACGAATTCAATTTACAAGTACTTTATTGGCTATTTATTAATTAAGTAATTTACTAATAGTATCGCCAATTTTAATTGTCTTTGTATCGGCTTGTATCAACTCATTTATGTATTTTATACATGTAATATTTAGTGTCATTTATACAAAGTTGTAAGACTGCATCAAGTTCATACAATAATGTTCCAATTATACGGTTCAATTATACAATATACGTATACATACTACGGTATTGTCATCATTTGAAATATTTATATAATAAGTAATCTAATGAATTTTTGGCAGTTAACTTACATGTAAATAATTTAAATAATAGGATTGTACCATTACATTTGTAATACAATATATGTTTATATTTGTGAACAGTATAATTCTTATTTGCTCACTTACTTTGGATAAAATAAAGTGTTATAGTTATTAAAAGTAACCCTCAAGTACTCTCAGTAACAATTTAATTATGACACGATGTTTATTCAAACGTGTTGTAGCTATTATAATTATTTCATCACAGTTTATACGAGTTGTATCGCCAATTATAGTTTTCTTCGTATCGACTCAAATATGTATCTTGTAGAACGCTCATGTAACTTTTTATTGAAACATGCTTCAGATATAACAATTATTTCATCATAGTTTATTCGAGTTGTATCGACAATTATAATTTTTTTCGTATCGATGTATCGACTCAATTATATATCTTGTAGAACGCTTCATGTAACTTATATGAATAAATTAATGTTGCAACAAATACATAACAGAATTGCCTATACACATTAGAATTATAGAAGATGTGTAGGCTTGTCAAAATTCTTTATGGTGGAGCACTGTTAGCGCTATTGCAAGCAGCGCATGTGAATAATTGAAACCGTATACAAATTTCAGTAGAGAATGAACACATCCAATAAATATGTAATATGAAAGAGCAGAGGAAAGTATAACGACGACAATGACGTTTTCATAAATAGATATTTCAACATTGACACTTTGCATCGTAATACCTTCGCTTTCAGAGCACGTGGAAAAGAAATACTTTTGTCATATAATTTATGTTCGAGATTACGATTTATCGATCACGATTAATAGGAACTCGGTCGGTCCAGTTGTTTCTGACAATGAGATCCGATAATCTCAGTTAGTCGTAACTGGCCGGCTTGCGTATAGATACACGAGGTGGTTTCAAATTTCGCAAGCACTTGGCGTGCAACATTACCGTGCCTGGTTAATAATAAATAAAAATTTATTCCGCACTGGATGTCAGTTTCAGAGGGAAAGGAAGGAAGATGTCGCGGATATGAGAACAATAACACTGGCATTTATGAATATAACATTTGTTCGTCCCGTGACGTTGTTCGAGCGGAAAACATGGCGATTTTTTATCGATCGGTGAAAGTTCACCGGTGATCCCAGGCAATCCCGGAAGCCGCGCTCCTCCACTGGTCGCAACGTGGAAAGAATCGGTATTGTGCATCGCACGCGCTCGCGCTTCGACGAACGCGTGCAGCCGTCTCTGGTACAGGCCGTTTCAGCGCGGGCCGTTGAACCGAAACGGCCAACCGGAACGACGTCCGATACTTTTTCCTTCTTCAATAACGGGCGATCCGCCGCGCGCGGATACTAATCGAGCGAAAATCAAGGACGCGCCGGCGAGCGTCGCGTCGCGCCCCGCCGCGCTCGATTTCAGGGCCAAGAAAGCGTGCATTGCAAGGGCAAGGGACTCGTCGACTGAGAGAAGTAAGTTTTTACAGATTGTTTGTAATAATAAATTTCAATAATAATCTTCTATTTCACTTGAATCTTTTATCCGAAAGTATAAATACTCATCATATAAAGTAAGAACTTGAAGAATACGTTCATCGTTGACTAATATTAAAAAAAAAATTTATGCTAAATATAATTCGAAAAAGAAAGAAAATAAGAGATTTTTCAAAATATGTTCAAGATCACAGTCCCATTTAATTTGACATGAAAATTAAGCCTACGTGCATTTAACGCTAAATATAAGATAAGGTGTTTAAAGTGAAATATATGAATGTAAAACAATGGAAAAGCTTTGCTTAATAAATCATACGATTTTCGCATTCCAGTTAATTACAGGACGCTGCTCAGGATTCTTTGAAATCTAGAACTATCTTAGGATTATCGAATACGAGGATGGTGCCATCCCTTCAAACCTCTCACGTTCCATTAACGACCTCGGCTTGTCCCCGAATTCTCCAAGTCTGACCCA